AGAGGATGGATGGGGAGCTTGGGGGGCTCAGTCGATTCAGCTTCGACTTCATCTCAGGTCATGATCTCACGGTTTGAGTTCCAGCTCCAGCTCCGCGTGGGGCTCTGTGCTGACGGCTCAGAGCCAGGAGCCTGCTTCGGATTCTGTGTTTCCCCCTCTCTCTGCCCCTCCCCCGCTCACGCTCTGTTTCTCCCTCTCCCAAAAATAAACACTAAAAAATTTTTTTTTAAAATAAAAAGAGGATGGATATTTAGAACTGTGTATCCATACCATCTGACTTGAGAAGTGAAAATCGGGCGTCATCAAGACTGAGTCCCTCCCTTGGTCAGCTGGATGGTGACATTCAATCAACCCAAACATAAGTGGAAGAGCAGGTTTGGGGAGAGGGGAAGGATGTAAGGTGCTATTTTGCAGGTCTTTGAAGAAATGTCCAAGTGGGAATGCCAAGCAGCAGGATATGTGGGTCTGAAGATACAAAGGGGTTTCTGTACTAGATTGTATAGATCTGGGGGAGGGGGGGAAGCAGCAGTGTAAGTTCAAGACATGGGCGTAACCACCCCGCTGAGTAAACGAAGTCAAGGAAGTCCCACAAAGGGAGGCTGCGACGGCCATGCAGAGAAGCAGGAAGCTCAAATCCTAGCCTGCCCTGAGTTCATTCACTCTTTGGGAGCGGCCGGGGGTGGAGGGCCGGGATGGGGGCTGCCACGGGGAGTTCGGGCGGTAGGGGATACCTAATCACTCGCTGGATGACATTCCGGTAGCGCAGCCTATCCGCCTGAATGTGAGGGTTACACAGAGCTTTCTTCAGCTCCTTCACCACGTCCTCGGAGCCAAGGTACGGCATCGTCCACAGTCGCGGGGCAGTCCCCGCACACCCCTAGGTAACTCGCCGGCTCCTCCCAGCCCTGACGTGGGAACCTGGGTAAAGCAAAGGTCAGTCAGCGGCGACGCGAAAGGCGTGATCTCGCCCCAGCCTCGGCTTCCCCGGGGCCGGAGCCCAGGCCCCAGCACACTCTCACCAAGCCTCTCCGCGCCCCGGCGAGCCCCGAACAAGGCTCTGTGGTTCCTGCCCGGGACCTGCAGGCCGGCTCGCGGCGCCCCGACACCTCTCCCGCTACCTCGAGGCCCTCCGCCCCATTTCCAGCCGGGCCGCCGACAGTCTGCAGACCCCTCCCTCTCCAGTTCCAGCCCTTCTTGCGCCTCCGCGCGGTTGCAGCCAAGGATAGGCCCAGTCAAGCTTTCTGCGGAAGTCCCGCCTCCTTGAGGCCGACCGCGCACAGCAGCTGCCACTCACCTTCTCGCGGCCAGCGCCTAGCGTCGCCCGGACGCCGACCTTAGGGCGCCCTTCCCCCCACCTCTCACCTCCAGGCGCAGCCGCGCGGCTCCCTCTGGTGGAGGCGCTGCGGGCCGTCGGAAATCGGCTGCTTCGGCCTGTCTCCGCCCAGCAGCGCGCGCTTTGAGTGCCCGGCCTTGGCCCCGGCTCCCGCGCGCGGGTAGGAGTGGCGCTCGGCCGAGAGTCTTTGGCGGTTTGCGATTCCACCCAGGACTCGCAAGAGCACGGCCACTTCCTTTTTCTCCCCACGCTAGGGACTTATTCCTCTTCTGGGCTGGCTTCCCGTTAGGGGTTCTGTCCGCGTTCTTGCCCCAGCGTGACTTTCTTCAGGGCGTGGTTGCAGGAGCCTCACGCGGCAGCTCCGTGCCCATGAAGATCTCGCTGGTGACCCTCCAGCCCCGCCACCATGAACGGGACCCTGATCCC